CTGGAGACCTGTCCAGGTGTCCCCCGCCTCTAGCACAGTGATAGCTGGACATGGGTACCAGTGACCCCCACAACCCAAAAAGGAAGAGGCAGGTAAACGATAATGGATGGATGATTCCTACAGAAGCTGAATCGTGTTTTTTCCACAAGGGAACGGTTTAGCCACACATCTTGTCAACTGGAGTAGAGAACCCCTTGAGATTAGAGTTTGTTATAGTTTCAGCTCATCCAGTTCTGTTTCAGCAGATTCTCCAGAGCACCACCCTGTGATCCACCCACCCCTGCTGTGTTTGCCTCACCACGTGTGTTCCTCGTATGAAGGTGAGCAGGGAGCGGCACATGGGCAACAGCACCAAACTGCAGTTCAGGTTCAGCACCGATGCAGACGCTCTGCTGATGCACAGTCCGAGCTGACAAAAAATGAGACAAAAGCACACATTGTTAGGCAGGATGTCATGGGAGGGAAACCAGTTATGACACACTTCAGAGACTGTCCTTTCCAGGTTTGAATGATTCAGTCAAAGCCAGCAGAGAGCTTGAGGCACGACTTCACCACAGACGTTTATTGGAAACCACTTGTGTCTTCCTCAGAGCATTCAGTCACAGGATGCTACTCATTAGAGGCGATGGCATTAATTAGAGTCAACCATTTGGTGACATAAACCCTGAAGGGTTACTGGTAACAGCTGTGGAGGTATAAGTTCTAAATGACTTTACGAAAATACTAAAAACTGGAGGCAAATCTGAGCCACAAGAGCTCCACATACATATTTTACAATGAATTATTAATAGTTAGGTTCTAGCAGGAGAACATACTGAGACAGCGTGCAGAGCGTTTGACGCAATCTTGTAAGAATGTTAGACGGCCGATTCTTTTTTTTTTTTAAATAAAACTCAACTCGAACAATCAGATGTTTTCGTGCAGAGCCTCTCACTCAGCAAGTTCAAACCCTCTCCAGGAAGCACGGTGCACTGCAGGTGCTGTCACCTCTCGTTTTCCAAGACTTACTGAAGACTGTGTGTTAGAGATGAAGGTGAGCAGATCAAAGTGAGCAGAAACTGAGTTTAAACAGAGGTTCCATTTCATAAATGCAGACCCGCCCACGGTTCATGGGGACAGAAGACCTCTGCTGGCTGCACAGCTGACTGACGTGTTGAAACGCAAGAATGAAGCGGAGAACGGGCCCGAGCTTGAATCCAAATATAGCAACTTAAGAGCCCTAACGTCTAAACACTTCCTCCTGACGTCTAGCACAGCTTCTTAAAGAACAGCAGCTGAAGGCATCTGATATCCTGATGTCTGTGCATCCCTAAACAACCCCAACACACACACGCAGGTGGAAAAGATAAGAAGCTATTTGAAGGATTAATGCTTTGAAATACATATCTCGTAGCACACATAGACTCATAAACTTGAGCCCTCCGGCGAGGCGTTCAGTCGACCCAGCGGCGTGCCCACACTTGCCCCTTTTTCTCCCCTTTTGCCTCCCACTGTACAGGCAGTGCAACAGTTCACACACGCTGTTCGCTGCCACTTCTCATTGTTTCACGCAGCTCTGACGGCACGTGTTGCTCTTCTGCTACTTTGTTTTAAAAGATGTTAACACATGCTGCACATTCACTGAATCTGGTTTGAACACCTTGTTGCTGTAAATACAGCGTAACATTTTAGATTGTCTTGACCTGTATTCAATGCTAAGACAATCAACTCTTCACTAGGGATGCACGAGACTGGATTTTTATCCGATTTGCTAATATGTTACAACTTATTTGGTGGATAACAAATACCAATATGTTTTTTTTCTTAGACCTACTTAAAGAGACTACAGAGCTTTCTCTGCTGTGGAATTAAATACTACATTATTCTGCATAGTCTTGGTCAGTTTGAGCTGCTACTAAATGCAGATGCTGAAAATGATGCAACACTTCAACTTGGATTATGTTTAATGTCAAATTTATTCATGACATTTACTCTCTCTAACACAATGACAACACTCGAACAGTGCAAATTTGTAAATTTTCCCAAATCTAAAAGTGCACAAGTTGTAGTGCATTAATAGATATACTTGACAGAAGCCCAATACGTGGTTGTACAATCTTAATGATCAACTCAAATCTCCTTGTCACTGGGTTGTCATACAAAACAGCATTATATATATAAATATATGCTGCATATATATATGGAATGGCTGATGTCCAATATTTAACTTTATCGCCGATATCGGCCGATACCGATACTATGCCGATAATATCGTGCATCCCTACTATTCACAAGACGGTTACACAAGTTAAATAGTAAATGTAAATGTGCATGTAAATTGCACAACATTAAAAGGACTTTTAAGCTAAAATGATCAATAAGAAACTACAGAAGGTGAAAATTCATGTGTTGAGACGCTGGAAGATTTTTCACGCCAGTGAGAAATACTACTTCACTTTCAAATACACCTCAAAGTAATAACATTAGAATATTTTAATGTCAGATATTATTTGTAAAATTATTGCATGTATTGTTTGATAATACTTTCTGAACTCAGTGTTCTGAATGTTTTGTGACTGTTTTTTTTTTAAGTTAATCTTTGTTAGAGGGGTTGTGTTGCTTTACTGGTGCTGATAGAGAATATCAGTTTTTTTTTAGCTTTAAATACAATTAATTTTTTTTTTTTCTCACGAGCATGCATCAAGAAACCCGCGCTGCCACTTCAGCAAGAACCTGTGGTAAAAAATTATACCGCACGAGTCAACAAATGTGACGACGCAGCAAACGAAATATAATATAATGAAAGATTTAGTCACTTTACAGATGTGCAAACGATTTTATAAAGCCACTAAGAGTTACATGACTAACACTCGTTAGACCAAATTAACTTTATTATAAATTATAAAACGATATCAAAGGCTGTAATTACACAACCTTGAAACTTATCCAACAAAGACAAAATCAACTTATTTAAAAAAGGTGTTAGTTAAGAAGATGAAGGCAATCTGCTCTTGATTCAAATAAATTCTTTCCATGTCAGTGATTGTTGAAGAAACATTTGTCCGCTCCAATAGTTCAATTCAAAAAGTTTTTTTTTTAATTTACTGACTTTGCACTGCCTGAATAACAGCTTTAGACTGTGAGATCATGATTACCATCATCATCCATGCTGTGTTGTTTGTTTGTGGAGTCTGTGAGGATGTTCTCCCAACATGTTGTGTGCCATACAGTTAAACCAGTCAGGAGTAAAGCAGGTGGTGCGTGCAGAGATTCAGATCAGACATTTTCAATAGTGATGGCATGAATAACTCCAGTGACCCTCACCCCCAGCATCTTGTAGAGGTAGTGGTACTGCAGCCCTGTGGAGTACAGCAGGTAGGTGCCCAGGAACAGCCAGGTGTTGGCCCCCAGCCACAGCAGCTGCAAAAACAGTCAAAACAGCAGCCACAGCTTCACTATCACAGAAAACATGTCAAAGCTCAACTTCACATCTGGTTCAACAAGTGCTTAAAACCAGCTGTGAAAGGCAGCAGGGGTCTAAAACGTGTTTGATCAGCTCAAGTCTTTTGTTTTCCTCATGCTAGATGGAAAAAGTTGCAAACATCACTAAAAAAAATAGAGCATTAGCAGATAAAACAGATGTTAGGAGCTAAAAAGTTGAGTTTTAAAGTTTGTGACAAAGTGTTTCCCCCACCAGGACCAAGTGTTTCCCTCCCTCGTTGGCGACCCAGCTCCGCAGCGACACAGCCATGGTGCGTTCAGGGACCCTGCTGCTGCTGCACAACGTCTGCACCGAAGTCTCGGTCCGGCCGAGGAAATGAAGGCTGTCCGCCCGGTGTCTGCTTGGCTCCGTCCTCCCGGCACTCCTCCTCTCCGCTCCGAGCAGGTTTGGACTTTTCATCCCCCTCCCTCCAGCTCCGCAACAACTACCGAAAAGCTCAGCTAACCCATCTTTACGTGACTACTTCCGGTTTAACCGTCTGTATAGTGGGCGCGTGAGTGTTTAAAGAAGCGGCGACAACAAACAATTGAAAGTTAACTCGTTTCTCTTCGGTGAACTCATTTGCAGAGAACAATGAGCGTCACTGAGCCGCACCGCCTCGTTCTGCCGCTAGAGGGAGCCACAGACCCGTACATTCTCGCTCCACAGTTTTTGTGCTATTTCAACAAATCATATCAAAACATTCAGCTCTTTCAGGACAGCTATGACTTTTGTTATATGTGCAACTTTAGCTTTTTGAAATATTTAGCCTTTTTGGCCATTTTTTCCTCATAGGAACTGAATTTTCTGTACCATAACAAAGATAATGTTTGTTTGTTTGTTTGTTTGTTTGTTTGTTTTCTTTATATATAAACATTGCCTGTTTTGTCTTCAGAGATGTGTCTATATGGATGCTTGATTGAAACTTGGTTGCTTGTGGTGTAGTACACTGACTTTTAGGAAAAGGGCAGACTATAAAAGATTTTTTTCTTCAAACTACTCCTCATTCAGAACTTTTGTTTTATGTTTATGTTCCGCTTTTTTCAGCTTCCTGGTGCAAATTTAAAAAAAATACAGCTAATTTCAGCTGTTTTTTTTTTTTTTTTTTTTTTTTTTTTTTTCATTCAACCTTTATTTATACAGGTTAATCCCATTGAGCCTCAGGGACTCATTTAAAAGAGAGACCTGATTTTAACAAAGAATGATGACAACAGTGGACAACAAAGACAACAACAGACAATCATAATAAAAGGATGTATACAAATAGAGAATAACAAAGTGAAAATAAAAATGTTGTTAAAAAAATGTAACAAAAAAAACCAAAAAAACTAAAAAAACCTCAGCTAGGTTGTAAGATGAAGTAAAATACTAAAACATGTCTGCGCTGGTTTTTCCCAGGAACTTAACAGATGTTTGAAGCCACTTAGAGATGTCAAGGTCGAAATCTTCAAATCTTTTTGTAAGATATTCCAGGAAACAGGAGCAGAGTAGGAGAAGGCCCTTTTGCCTAGTTCAGTCCGCACTGAGGGAACACTGCAGGTAATAATGTCCTGAGAGCGCACGCTGTAGCTGCACTCACACAGAGACATGTAGGAGGAGATGTGGCAGCATGACGGTTCAGTGGTTAGCACTTTTGCCTCACAGCAAGAAGGTCCTGGGTTCAATCCCCGGTTGGACCTGGGGTCTTTCTGTATGGAGTTTGCATGTTCTTCTCGTGCTTGTGTGGGTTTTCTCCAGGTGCTCCAGTTTCCTCCCACAGATTAAAAACATGCATGTTAGTCTGCCTTCAGGCCCAGGCCTCCCTTGCAAAAGAGATCTGTGATTTCAATGGGATTTGCCTGGTTAAATAAAGGTTAATAAAATAAATAAATGTATGAAGACAACAGGTCATGTGATTTTAAGATGAAAATGTACCAGTGGGAGATTCTGCATGAAGTTAATGATGACCAGTTAACCAGTGAATACAGTGTGCAGTGGTGGGCACAGTAGTTCTGTACAACCAGTTATGAATCTTAGTGCACTGTGATAGACATCCAACATCTGCAGGGTTCTTGTAGGAGCGTTCATGTAAATAATGTCACCGTAATCAATGGAGGGAAGGAAAGTCACAGATACAAGGCGTTTTCTAGCATTCAGGGTTAGACAGGATCTGTTTCTGAAAAAGAAACCCAGTTTAACTTTCAGTTTTCTTACCAAATTTTCCACGTGATGCTTAAGAGAGATGCAAATCGACCAAGATACCCAAATATTTATAGGAATCGACAATCTCAATGGGGACACCATTCGAGGATAAAATCGAAAGAAGAACTGCTGGGACCGACTTCCTGTTTGTAAACAGCATCTCTTTGGTTTTGTCTGTGTTTAGAACAAGTTTGAGACAGAACAAATCTGACTGGATGATGTCAAAAATGGATTACAAGAGCTGGAAAACCTTAGCAACTGTTTTGGCTCGACAACAACTGTGTCATCAGCTTAGGTAAGGATGCATCAGGAATGCTCTGGCCTTCATTACCTATGTAGATTGTAAAGAGGATGGGTCCTAAGACTGAGCCTTGTGGTACACCCATCCATCCATCCATCCATTTTCTTTACCCGCTTATTCCATTTTGGGTCACGGGGGTCGCTGGTGCCCATGTCCAGCAATCACTGTGCGAGGGGCGGGGTACACCCTGGATGGGTCGCAAGTCCATCACAGGGCCACATAAGAGACAAACGAGACAAACAAACATTCACTCTCTCACTCACACCTAGGGACAATTTAGAGTTACCAATCAGCCTAACATGCATGTTTTTGGACTGTGGGAGGAAACAGGAGTACCCGGAGAAAAC